CTGCACTGAGCCACTCACCTCACTGCACCCAAGTGCCTCCCCTGGGACACTTCACATCTGGTCAACCCCTTCCTGGAGCACATCTGCAAGCCTGGGGTAACCACTGCCACCACCCAGGGGTCTGGTCTGTATTTGGGCCCTGTGCCCACAAGCATTGTAGACCTTGAGAATGCTTGACCCACTGCGAGAACTTGGGGTGCTTCCTTAAGCCTGAAGCACAGAAAGTAGCCTCCCTTAGTCAACTGAGCATAGGGAACATAAAGGTATGCCCAATCCCTCTGCCAGCAAGTACCACTGAGCTTGTTATAGTGGAGCACTTTATTGGTTAAAGAAAGTAGGTTTAGGGAAGGGTACGGGTTAGAGAAGTGTCAAAGAATAACCCAGAGCAAACAGTACAGCTTAGTAGCCTTTTGTTATGCTTCTACATTATAGTAAGCTATATTTCTAGGTAAGTTTCAGGTAGGTTACTCACAAGTATCATCCAGAGGCTGATTAAGCTTCCTGTGGAGGAAGGCAGTTCATTGTGTGTCAGTTTCAAGATGCCACTCCCAAGATGAAGGGACCCTTAAATAACCTTTCTGACCTCACCTTTCAGGCCCAATCAAAGACAGGTGTTGTTTGATGACAACCAACCAATTTAAAAAGCATCATGGTCACCTAAGGGTGTGACATGGCTCAAGCCCCTGCCCCCATGCCATGAAGTCAGTGCTTAAAACAATAGAGACTAGGTTCACTTCCCCTGTACCTGCTTCAGGTCATGTAGGCATAACCTGGGCCAACCAGATTGACAGACAGGTGAGGAGACAATGACAAAGGAAAAAAACCTAATAGAAGAGACTGGGACATTCTTCCACACCATGGCCCCAGCCCTAGCTCTGCCCCTATCTGAGTTTCAGGCTTTCTGAGTAAGCCTTGAACCTGCTCTCCACAGGGCTCAAGGCTAAATTACTGGTGCAACTTAAATAAAAAACATCTCAGCCCTCTAGGAGACAACCAAACCCTCACCAGGCTTAACATAAAATAAAGGCCATTTGCCTGCATAAAGGAGCCTCTCGGTGTTCCAAGTAACTCTCCCTTGTTCTCAGGCCTGCAGAGCTGCTTCCTTCCAGTCCCACTGTAGCTTCAGGAGCCCTGTTGTTCATTCATGGCTCTCAGAGCTAAAAAAAAAACTACCTGACCAGCTCAGGCCTAGGTCTTATATAGCTCAAGCCTGAACCTTTTTCCAGTCAAATGACTTCCCATGGCATGCTGACTTTTCTACAGGGCTGTTCCTTAACCCCACTCTGCTGGCTGCCTGTGCTACAAAGATCCTGCCCTTAAAGGGCCATATTGCTTTGCAGTAACAGGGCAAGGGTTCCCTGTTACAGGGTCCAGAAGCTACCTCTCTCCAAGGACTCTCCCCATGCCAACCCCTCTTTGGGCCTCTGCTAACAGCATTGCTCCTCTCAAGGGGTATGGAAATAACACCATAACACATTTCATACAGGCTGCCAAGCAGTTATCAGCACAGAGCTGGGCTGGAGATGGATCAGAGATCAATGGGGGTATGTAAGTACATTCCTCATAGAATTACCCACAGCAGCACCTTAAAAGCTGTACTCTGTCTGACATAACACTGTCACACTCTTTAAGTTGGGCATGTTGCTTCTCTGCAATGCTAGGGCTTGTCCTGGCAGAAGTGAAGGTTGTTCCTCTCCTATCTCCAGGCATGTTATATAACATACATGATGTATAAATGTTGACAGTGGGGGAGCACAACTCCACACCACTCCCATTGCCACTGCCACCATCCCCGCTGTTGCTGGTCCCTGGCTTCAGCCAGGCTGCATGTCAGACGGAGAATAGGTTCTAAGGTGCTATAGTGGGTGATTCTATGAGTGTACTTACGCACCCTTGTGGATCTCTGGTCCAGCTCTAGTCCAGCTCTGCGCTGATGACTGTGCCCTGCCATCGGCGCAGAAATGGGGGGGAGCACATGCCCCATGTGCCCCACTACCACATTGCCTATGTTATGTAACCCCTGGGGGCTGTCTGATATTCAGAGATGTGATTTCCAGCCTGTTCAACAGGTGATTCATTCCTAATGCTGAGAACACAAGAGGGTGCTGCCCTGTTCTGTTTAGCCTTCATTGGTCAACTAGATCTTAGGGACACAAAAAGAAAGCACACCTGCAGCCCCTGGTTCTTAGGAGGGCATTAAAACCAAGTTATCTTTTAGGAAATGTCATGAAGGAAACCCACTGATATGGCAATGTGCCCAGGGAAAAGGGCAGCCCCCCAGGCCTGTGGTTCAACATCTGTGACCTGTTGTTACTTAATGACAAAGGCAGGAGCTTTCAGTTCAAAATGATCAGGGACAGTCACATGTATGTTGCTTTTACACTTCTCATTGACTACACCCTCACCCCAGCAGCAACAGTGTGATGCTGGGGTTCAGGAGGCCAATGAAAGATTCAGAAAGCACAAAGAATTCCACATGAAATGCACCTTTTTATAGTAAGCACAAGATAGAGTTAAAATGCATTCACACGCAGATTCTGTACTCTCTAGAATCCTGTGTATAATAACAATATAGATAGACAGACAGACAGAGCAAGCATATAGGGATGGAGAGATACATACATACACACATACTCAATGTATACATATGTAGAGAGGAGATTGCTCTGAGCTAGTGTTAAGGTATGTCTACTCCATATCCACATGTTGCTTCTGTGGAGATGCCCCCTATAGCCACCCTACAGACCTTTGCCCAAAGGCAAAGCAAGGCAAGGTTTTCCCAAAGGTAGCTCATTCTTCCCCTTTTCCCCCCTTAATAAGCCCTGTCATTGCTTACTATTGTTTGTGAGTTGGAAAGTGTTTTTCCACATTGGAATACCCAAGTAACATTTATTTTCCCAGATTTCTGGGGAGGGTTGGGGTCTTAAGCCAACATGGGAAATCTGTGTAAATCACTAATTTTGAACTTGGTCCTTGAACTGTCACCTAGGGGTGGTCAGAAGGGTTGTGTACATAGGATACCTGTGCACTTGACAATAGTGATTAGCATGATTCAAACTATAGCATTCAATTTGTTGTAGTGACAGCCTGTTTCTTCTGAGTATGATATTTTTACTAAATTCAACAAAATGGCTACTGTTTGAAGAGCCCTAGTTTTTGTAAACATAATTCCTCATACTTCTGTCATACGGTCAGAGCAGAGCACTTGCTGGTCTGCCAGAACACAGTAGTTGCCTGTCAGATGGGTGCCAACTTGTCATACACTAGATCCTGACACAGTTATATCTCATGAGATTCTAGCCTACCACCAATAGGTTGAAAACTACTAATTAACTATTCCTTATTCCAGATCTACAGGTAATGGGGTAAAAAGTCTGGTCCACACCTCACCAAAATGGGCTCCAAATATCCTCAGTGAAATGGACACAGTGGGCTGTAAAACTGGAGGAGTGCTGAGCTCTATTGCTCATACTGGCTTACCCAGGAGCAAGGGTGCTCTGAGATCAGGCACTATGGCCAACATTTTTAGAATCCAGGTACCCAGAACTTTATGGTCTGATACAGCTCTCATTGAAATCCATATAGAGACATCTATTGTGGCTGTTGTCTCAAGCTTTTTGGGGCTTCTCTGTACTGATGGTAGTAGGTCTCTGAAAAGACAAGACTGACCACTCTCCCCACTCAAGAGGCTGCTGCTCCAGACCTTGACATTTACCAGTGTGGCTCCACTGCACTCAGCACCTTTGGCCACTCTCCAACCTGCAGGAATCCAAGGGCTTGAGAGCAGGTGCTGGGGGCAAATCCCAGTGGAGTATCTAAGGGTAGGTGACTGGGATATCAGTTCCAGGTACAAACTTAGAAGGGGTACAAGAATCTTGCTGCCAGTACAACTGCTGCCCAGGGTGAAGACCCTTCTTTGTATGCCACTGACATGCCCAGAGCAGCCTCACTGATGGGGACTGGAGCAGCCAGAGCATGCTTGGACCCATCCTTGAAAGGACATGCTGCTGCTGCAGTGTGGACAAGCCCTAAAAGGCCTAATTTTCAGATTTTCCACAAAATTAAGGTGGCTTTGCTCAGCACTTCTGGAAGCAGGCCAGTTTTATGACTGCCCCTCACTGTTGTATCCATGTTTGAAAACATGAGCCTGCAAGTACAATGCACTGATCAGAGTAAAGCAACCACATTGCCCCTTTTTTATTCATTCATTGATTAAAGCAGGAGTGGGTGATGTGACCCACCAGGTCATTCCATCTGGCCCACAGGACCTCTTAAAAATTTAGAAAATTAATATTTATTTGCCCCTGGTAGCCTATCATGCGGCCCTCAAAGGCTTGCCAAAACTCAGTAAGCGGCCCTCCGCCTGAAATAATTGCATGCCCCCGGATTAAAGGATGCTGCTTTTCCATGAATGACAAACACTGCATTACCTCCAGGATGCCTTAAATGTATTATTCCTTGTCCTTTCTCTAGCCTTTGTGCTTATCCAGAAAGCCATATCCAAGTTTCTTTAACTTGCAGGGCTTATGTAACAGAGTTATAAAGGCAGCACTGCTGATAAGCAGAAGATGAAAGGGAAACACAATTATTCTCCTGGTTTGAAGAAGAGCAGGGGCCAGAGAGGACAATACAAATAAACTGTGCAAAAATACAGCTCAAGGCTTCAACCTGAAGAGGCACCTGTGTTGTCCAGGTTTCAGCACTATAATAACACCTACATCATAACCAGATATGCCCATCTTGCCAAGGTGTCTCTGGGAGATTCAGATTAAGCAAAATTGCAGTTACACATTTACTGGGACTGGGAGGCTGGATAACCAGTTCATTCCACGGTGCTGCCACAGACCTATGCCTACGATCCTGATTCTGCAAGCAATTGTGGCAGAAAGCTGCTACACTATGGACCATCATGGAAACAGGAGTTTCATATAGAATACCAGATGAGTTTGAAAGAGAATCAAAAGAACATATGATACTTTCCTTAGCACATAATTATTAAGCTCTAGCAGTTTATTATTTTTCAAGAAAATTAAAGGATTTCCCCAGTATTTGTATGAATGCAAAACAGCAAGTTAGGAGGGTAACAGCACAAGCTTTTGGGTTTTATTCCTTACACAGAAATAGCACATCTAAATCATTGTACCAGTATTTGGAATTCAACTGATGCAACTGTTGAAGAAGAAGAAAAGAAAAATTCAAAATACAGCAGAGGGGCAGTATTCATTATCCTGGTAGTCATTTTCCAGAGGAGTGTTCAAATCCTCTAGTATTTCCCCTTCTGCTGACCCGGGTGCTTCTTTCTGCTCTGTAAAATACAAAAAAAAAAAAAAAAAAAATTAATTCATGATCTGTGATCCTGTGGTGATGGAGCCTGATTCATAATCTTGTTTGAGTCAGACCCACTATTTTAAAAGGGGTGTGGTGTGCCTCGCACAGGTAGGCCAGGAGCTGGTCTCTGGCAGCAAGGCCAGTCCCTTGGTTTGCAGGGTGCTCTCCACACACTATTCAGTACGGTGAGTGCCACATGGCAGAGCCCAGAAGCCAAACACATCCCAGGAAAGTCAGCTGGGCCCTGAGTGGGTACCAAGGTCCCTGATGCAGGATGGGGTTCACAGGGCCTGGGTTTTAAAACACTGCGTCCCTCACCTTTCTACTAAATTCAGTGCTAGCAAAAGGGGAGCAACACCTCTGAAACACAGGCCCCAAGTATTTGCCATGCCTCAAGGCCATGTGAATTCCCTGTTTGTATTCATTCCATGGGCCAGTGGGTCTCCAAACCCTACAGAGCTTTAGGAGAGCTACCTGTAGGATCTTGGAAGAGACAGGACTAGCCTGGCCCTGAGAGTGCCTAAGTCCCAGAGATCTTAGGTCAGACTCTGACTAGATATGGGGTCCAAGCCAGTGTAACTCCACTGATGGAGATGAGGATGGCATAAGAGCAGAATGTAACCACTTGTATCAGGCAGAGATGCACAGATCTCAGCCCTGCTCAGGATGTGAGCGGTCTCTGTGCTCTTCCAGGAGATGGTGAACGGATGGTCTATAAGAGGGGCCAGTTGTTCAGAAGGAACAAGCTCCTCTCTGCAGCTTGGAGGGAAGCAACGGCCCAAAGCCTTAGGCCGATTCACCAAAACTGTCCACTGCCTGGGCAGTGCCTCTCCCCTTGAGGGACATAGCTAGCGGAGGGTGCTCATGCTGAAGCCTATTAGCCTACAGGCTCCCCAGAAACTTACCTGCTGCAAACAAATCGCCCTCAGCTGAGATCCCCTCCACTGCCTCCTGTGGGGTGCCACTGGGCAGCTCTTGGACTGTGATCACAGGGTGCTCTTGCGGGGTCTGGGCTTGCTCTGACAGCTCATTCTCTGACTCTTTAGGCTGAGGCTCCGGCTGTGTAACCAGTGGTCGGCCCCTTCCTCTTCCAGCTCCTCGGCCCCTCTTTTGCCGTTTGTTCTTCTCCTCCCTGTCAGAACATGAGGGCATTTCACACACACATGCTGTGATCTTACAGTGAGCTTATAAGCATGGAAGGAAATGAGGGTGTTGCCAGGCACCCTCAGTGTGAGGCAGGCATCAGACTCTCCTTACTCCAGCAGCACTATCCTGGGATGGCCCTACCAATATGGTGATACCAGCAAATCAGGCATAGTTCACTTCTACCCCCACAAGCTCTATCAACAACAGTAGCTTCTCATGGGATTGTTGCTAACATGATTACAGCAACCAGAAATGATGCCCAACCCCAGTGGACAGACAGAGACCAGCCAGACACGTTATATAGGTCCAGGCCTGCATGTCTGAGCCATTGGTCATAGTCAGTGGTCTCTGTATGGTATGTGTGACAAAGCTGCTGTTGCTTGAGGGCAGGTACCACCTGGGAAAATAATGGCCTGTGGATGACACCCAGCCTATGGAAGCAGATAGCAGGTGGGTTACAGAGTTCCCTAGAGCCATGATGACTTAAATTGAATGGCAAATATTATGCCAGGAATCCTTACACTCACCACTGCATGCTGGGCAATGGCTGTTCAGGGCCTGGAAGGATAGTGATATCCCTTGAATGAGGATTAGATTAACCTGCTAGCAGAGATGTGAGGTGGAAAATTTTCCAAAACAGAAAAATATCCAGTGATTTATTTTTCCGTGGGAAATTTTCCATTTCTAAAAATTCATTGTTTCATAACATTCATTAGTAACAATGAATGGATGCCAAAACCATATTAGGCAGGCTTGGCAGTTTCAAAGTTATAATGTTTTTCCGGTGATTATTCCTAGGAAGTGTGTGAGAGGGTACATATATGTTTTATTGATTTGTAAACAGGAGGGTAAATGCACTCAGATAATCATCCAAACCAAAAATCAAGTTATGAATTCATCTAATTGGCTGTGCAGGTCAAATCAAAACCAAAGCACAGCATATCGTGCACAGTTCTTTGGATATGTTAAAATTAGTGTGTCAACAGTTTTCAGTGCCTTTATTTTTCTTCTTAAATTTAAACAAATAATGTAAAGGAAGTACATGCTATTGTGTATTGTCTTTACATTTTTACAAGTATGCCAATAAAAATAATTTTTTCCACATAAAGCTTTGAATTTGTTTGACTATAACATTTAAACCACATTAAGCGTGCTGTATTTAATTTTTGTCCTAATCAAATATTTCAGTTCAAATACTTGTAGCTATTCGGACATAAAATTAACATGGGGGTACTTGTTTAGTTTTATTTACTAAATATAAGTAAAATAAACATGCCAAATAAAATCACACTCTATTTAGGGCACTGAACAATTTTCTGGGAAATTTTCCAATTCAAAATTTTCCTGAAAACTCACATCTCTGCCTTCTAGGAAGAGCCATGGGCAATTGGCATGGAAGCAGTCCTGGGACACAGTGTGAGCCCCTCTATCCCCTGCTCCTCACTACTCTTTCTTCACTCCTTGTGGGCTTCCATAGCTGTCAAGCCCTATGCAACTCCATGCATGACACAATATGCAAAATATGTAATGAGTTTACATATGTATAAATATTTGCAAGTCACACAGCTATGGCTTATGGGCAATGCCCCATGCCCTAGACGCTGGTGAAGGGAAAAAACAGGGCTACACTGAGTTTGAAGCCAGAGTCCAGTAGGGTATGTGTGCTGAATGAAGAGGGATATCAAGAGAGACACAGAGGTAGTACTGGAAGTTGTTTGTAATGATGACACAGTGAGTGCTGGCATGTAGGTGGGCCTGGATGCTAGTTAGACTTCTCTGGAGGTAACTGGGAGGAGGGTGCTAGATGTTGGCATATTTGGAAGATTCTGGCTTAGGGAATGAGTGCATTTTGGGAAGAGATCTAATGTCTCTGCACAGAGCAGAGATCTGGCTGGGGGGCAGGAACTGTCCTTGTAGGTTGGTCTAGAATAGGGTGCTCTCTGTGGGCTGGCAGGGAGCAAGGTTATCTAGATAGCAGAGATCTAGAAGGAAGGGCTTCCTTGTGGCAGTTGTCTCTAACCCATGCCTCACAGGGTGCACATTGCCTGCATGACTCTCTAAAATTACAAAGACCAACGGGAAGTGAAAAAAATTAAAACTGAGCTTGACAAGGAGAGTGAAGCATGTTGTTGCCTACAGTGTGGTACTTGCTCAGTGTGGTTGCCCAGGATCTGATGGATGTTAGGACATGCTTCTCTAGGGCCCACCTGGGCTGTAGGATCTCTCTCTGGAGGGCTGGGATCTCTCAGGAGCCAGATCTGGCAAGGTGCAGGGATTGGGCTGAGGCCTAGGGGCTTGTACAAGGGCTGAAGAGGTGCTGTCTTGTGGCACAGAATCTGTCTAAGGACACCCAGGCCCATGTGGAGTCCCTTTGACTGCTGTCCTCTCCCGCCAGGCTACCCAATGCAAAACAACCACCTTCCCAAGCCATATGAGCCTGCTGGCACAAATCTATGGGTGCCCGTAGACATGATGGACATCTCTGATGCTGTAATTACAGTGTGTTGGACTAGACTTGATTAATCGAGTCTGCTGGAGTGTGCTAATTAGCATGCTCCAGCAACCTTGGCATTTCGTGTATTCAGTCTCCCCGCATGAGCAAGCTTTAGTTAAAGCACCCCCACTGTCATTTTGAAGCATGGGATGCTGAATACACTTGGCGCTGTGGGCGCTTTTATTAGAGCAGCTTCCAAGAGCCACTTTAATTAAAGCACCCCTCCCCATCCCCGGATCACGTGTAAAGATGCCTACGTGATGCCACAAAGCCTGATAAGAGACAGTTCCCCGGGGCAGAAAGACAAGCACAAGGGGTAATGTGGGCTTGCACTGGCCCTGGACTATAGGATTAGGTTTAGCCTCTAGGGCCAGCAGTGTATCAACTACACAATCCCAAGAGCTGCCCTGAACAGGCTCAGCCATCCCTCTGAGGAATACATTGAGTCTCTGGTGCGCTGCTGGGATGGAGAGGATAGCTGCTGCCCAAACAAGCAGCACATTCTCTCTCTGCTGCTGTCTTGCCAAGCTCAGCTCTGCAGACAAGCACATTAAGAGCAAAAGCAGTAACCTTTCTTCCAGCCCTGCTTCCGGGGAGGCCTGGGTACATGATGCAACATGCATACAAGGTTTATACCAACCCCTTATGCCCCTGCAGGGTATATATCATCCCAATTACCCTCTAACCCACAGCAATCCTCAGCATCCAGGGGTAATTTTCTGCTCATCCATGGCATCCGCATCTCTAAAATAAAATCTCTCTGCTGTGTAAGAACAATTTACCCCAGGACCCACTGAATAGTGTCTTTCTCTTGGGCTTCTGTTTTCCTTTTCCTGAGCAGCTCTCGGTCTCTCAAACGCCTTGTGATGATGACATCTGTGAGAACAAACCAATCATCAGTACAGCACCCCAGGTAATGAGCCACCAGCAGAAACCTTCCCACCCAGGGGTGAGAGGACCCTGCTGTGGGTGGCTCTAACAAGAAAACCGAGGCTCTCAAGGTGAGCCCAGGCCCCTCTCAGCCAGAGACTGAGTTAGCATGTCTGGAAGACCCTTGGGAAAGGGGTGCTTCAGGCTGCAGACAGTTACCAGGCTTTCATATTTAAATGAATGTTAATATGCTTTGTATGAGCATTTTGGGCATTGCTTTGGACAGGAACTTGGAGAGAGCCAGCAGGAGATACCGAGCTTGAATGAAGAACTCATTCAAGCCCTTCTCAATCATGGCATAGCAGAACCTAGAGAGATAGTAGCCATGTCAGTCTGAAGTCAGTCAGGAGGCAGGGTAGATATGTTCCTTTATCAGCAAACTAAGATATAGAGAGAGAGAGCACAAGCTTTCATGTTTGTGAAAGCTTGTGCTTTCTCTATATATTAATCTCATTTGGTTGGTCTGTAAAGGTGAAGGGTTGGTCTACCCTGCCCTATAGCAGAACCTGTTAAACTGGTCCAGGTCTAAAGCATTCTGGATAGCCAGAGTTTTGAGTATCAGCCTCTTCCCATTCATTAGCCCCCCATTCATATCCAGCCCTTGGCTGCACCTCCCAGCACTACTGCCCCTCTTTGTCTCTCTCACTTTTACAAAGTCTAATGTGCCCTTTACCACAGAGACCTGCAGACTGCTTCAAGGCCTAGGAAAGCCAATAGAAGGCCCTGCTTTATTTCCTCTGGGCCTTATATCAAGCCTTGGTTTCCATATCCACCGCAGATTCACCCCCATATGCCACTGTAGCGAGATCTAAACTCATAGCGTTCCTTTATCTGAAAGTGTCTATGCATCTTTGGCTGGGTATTTTTAATACATCAAAGGCACACTGCCTGTGGGCAAAATCTAGCTAGGCAGAAGGTCAGTGCAAGGCACAGACCCCACTACAGTCCTGCTTAGGACATGTCTATACAAGCACCACTCGTAAAAAAAATACACAGCCCACTTATCCCCACTAGCAACCAGCAGAGAGGCAGAGTACATGACTCAAGAGCGGTACTGAGTTGCTGGGAGCAGACCTGAGTTATCCCTCCCATTTCTCCACACACAAGTGGATACACTGCTTATGGTTCAGGAGATAACATGTAGAGAGTAGTATAGCATGTTTGAGCTCACTGCTACCTGGCATGGTGATTTTGCCAGGTCAGCAATCCCACAGTGGCTCCTTAAGCAGCTCTGGGTCTGAAGGGTGTTCGCTTCAGTGAGGGGGCAAGACCAACCAGGCAGAGCTAGACAGGATGCCATTTCAGTCCTACTTAAATCCTTGTCTGAGAACACAGCTGAGCAGAGGCATCAAGGAGTCCCCTTTCACAGAGGCAGAGGGAGAGGTAGGATATCACCCACTCATTATTCATGCCTTGCAACCCCTGTGTTTTATTATTACCCTGGACTTTGAAAGGGAAGGTCCATGGCAGAGGCAGACACATAACATCCTGAATCCAGTGACAGACAATATTCCCATTGACTGTACTGGGGAAAGAATTTCTTCAGACCCTATCCCAAGAGACATGGTTCCTGACGTAGCACTGTGAGTCTCCAGTTTATCAATCCTAGCCTGTCTAGCCCAGCCCAGCCCAACCTGCCAACTGTGACAGTGCTGCCTTGTGACGTTCCCTGCCAATGAAGGCCTCAGCAAAGTATCTCCAAACAAATTCCATCCAAAATCATGGCACCAAGGACTGGATGATTTCTAGGCCTGTGTGAATAGGCAGCTATTCGATTCAGCTTCAGATCCAGCCATTTCGGGTGCCAGGATTGGTTTCCCACTTCGATTCGGCCGAAGTGGCTCCAAAGCTTCGGAGCCACTTTGGAGATCTGACCATAGGGTATAATGGGAATCAATGAAATACATATAACTTTAGTGTTTTTTTGTCTGATTTGGATGAAACTTGCAGGAGGGGTAGCCTCTGGTGAGAGCATGAGGCCTGCCAGGTTTCAAGAAGATCGGTGCAGGGGTTCGGGGGGAACTGCACCCCAAATTCTTTAAAGCAGAACTCATGTCATGTGTATGTGTTACACCACAGGGGGGTGAAAACTGCAGGGGTGGTGGCCCCTGCTGAGGCCACAAAGCCTGCCAAGTTTCAAGGAGATAGGTGCAGGGGTTTGAGGGGAACTGCACCTCAAGCTGCTGACAGGGAAAACTTGTGACAGATGACCCTGCTGAGGCCACGAAGCCTGCCAAATTGCACCCTATGGCCAGATCTCTGAAGCAGCTCCGAAGCTTTTCCAAAGCAGTTTGGAAGCTTTGAGTGGGGAACCTCTGACCCGCTTTAGCAAGCCTAAAGAAGCCAGCGCTTCGATCCAGACATGCTGCTTTGACGTCCGAAGCGTCCGAATCTTCTCCGGATCTGAAGCACGGTCCAAAGCCTCGCACAGCCCTAATGATTTCCCTCCCTGAGCCTGTGCCCCACCTTCTCCAACCATAGCATTATGTAAACAAGACTTGGAGCCCTGAGCACAAGCTCCCGGGTTGCAATGAGCTGAAATACAGGTTAAGCCATGACATGTTTGGGAGAGCAGGCAAGGTGCGAGGAATGGGGACCTCTTTGAGGGCATGTAAGAGGTCACAGAAAGAATTACAAAATGATGGGCTTTCATCATTTCACGTGGATCAATACTCCTCAGTGGACAGTATACACAACATAAACTAGGCCTCATATCTTCCAAACAAGAGCCTCTGTGCACATAATGAATAAGGCCAGGTGAGCAAACCCTGTGAGACCAAGGTAGGACTGGGATCCCCTCTGTGCAGATGGGGAACAGTCACATAGCAGTAACAAGCCTCCCCGCATTCACATGGGAATCCTGGCTGAGCTAAGAGTACAATGTCTTATTCCTCATCATATGTATTAGCTACAGGAATCTCCATTCCTGGGTGTGTAACTCAGAACAAGAGGAAAAAATGTGTTATGAACTCTGGAAATGCTTCTTTAAAGAGTGTGACCCCCTGCAATGCAAGCACAGGCTTCTTGCTTCTGTGCCAGAGGCATAAGTTCATCTCTTGTTGTGGACTCATGCCTAAGGCTGTGCTAGCTGTACATGGGTGCCTGGTCTTTCAAGCTGAGGAGTTGAAGGCAGACAGACATGGTGCTGACCTCATCACTCTCTTGTGTACAGAAACTGGCTTGCCTTAACCCCTTAATTCTCAGTGAATAAAAATTGTGGTGTATTCAGAGAGAAATGCCATGTTCTAGTTTTACAGAAAACAGCATCTTAACAACAGTCCCCTTGAGCATAATGATACCAGTGATATGCAAGGCACTGTGTTCAGTAGATAACCTTAGGTCTGCCAACAGAATACTTCTAAGGAGGACTGGAACTAGGGTGCCATGGGACTGTCAGGCTTAATTCAGTAACAATTACTAAAACCCTGAGCCACTGTAGTACATAACATCATCCCCCTGTCAAACATCAACTCATTTCTTTTCAGGAGCTGAGGCAAACAAATAAATATATACATAAATAAAATCGTTTGAGCTAAAGAAAATAATCTGAGGAAAGCACTCTGAATTAAAGGTGAAAAAAGCCTGTGTTTCCCTGACCTATCATCCTTAGCAAATTCTTTTTGACTGATCAGTGAAACATCTAACCTGCTTACCTTTATTAGTATAGCATGCAACAGTTTGTGAAGTCTGAAGTGTGGGATTAATCCCTTGCTCATGTAAAATCAGGTTAAACCGGTATGCAAACTTGCTGTTGTTTAAAATATTTTGGAAGCTCTGTCTCCAGCTTTGTGTCTGTTAAAGCAGTCATCAAGACAGGATTCACCTTACTGGACAGTGCTCTGAATTGAGTATTGCATTAAAATGACAGAAACGTTATGAAAAATGTCGTATTATTTAACTCAGAGCATTGATGCAAATTGGTATTGATGCAAAAAGATGCACAGTTAATACTCTGACACAATAAAACTGAGAACACAGAACTATTACATTATACACCTAAAGTATAAACCTACCATATATTTATAATGAACAGTTATAATATTTAGGATGGGTTCTATCTGAGCTGTGAATTATTTTCAAGTGCTTTTATCTTTCATGGCTTTAATGTAAAATGTGAGAAAAATAATACAACTCTTAATTTTTCAGAGTAAAGACCAGTTTCCTCCAAACCAGACATTCCTATAAATGACATAGATTTGATCACTTAAGCTCTTTTTATGTATTAAGGAATTATAATTGTCTCTTTCTTCTGCTAAGAATTCTAGTTAACCACGAGACTACAATCAGTTCCCTTTCCCTCAGGCTACATCATTACTAGTACCTGGTACAGCATACTCCTCATGGTGCAGCAAAGCATTACCTGGTACAACATACTCCTCACTGGCTGGCGGAGGCTGGTGGTCAGGTTCTGAATAAGCATGGTCCTTTCCTATTCCCTCCATTTTATTTTGCAATGAGGGCATCAGGAGTTATGAGTGCTACATACTGCAAAAGAAGTGTTAAAAAAAAAACCCTACAGGCTGCCCGCCCAAAATAGCTTATCTGGTCAGACCATGGGTAGAGTAATAATATTCTTCTTATCATGTTGCAAAGGTGTGTAAGTCTGGGCCCATCTCTTGGCATGTGGCTGCACAACATAATGTGCTTCTTCACCACAATGCTCTTAAAATAGAAAACTAAAAGTTGTTGAGGCTGATGTATGCTGGGTCTATTGTGTTTAATAAAGTTGTTGTAGGGGAAGAGCAGAATGCCCCAGACTCTTTGCTGGTGCTTGATGGGAGAGGCAGGTGGGGAAAATCCAACCCAAAAGGTGCATTCTACTCTGTGCAGGGGGCTCTCATTTTGGGTCTTAAGTGTGACATAAATGGTTTACTGGCATTCAGCGAAGGAGAAACAACTTTTCAGGGCCCTTGTGGTACTCATGGAGTGAAGAGGTTGTGGGGAGTAATGGAACATGCACTGGACTGGGGCTCAGGAGAGCTAGGTTTTGTTCTTAGCTCTAAACTGGGACGCTGGATGTCTCTAGGTGAGTCGCATCACCTGTCTGGATCTGTTTCCCCATTGACAAAATAGAGTCAACAATACTGACTTCTTTGTAAAGTGCTTGAGGCTCTACTCATACGACATGCTATGTGACAGCTGGGTATTATCATCCTGTGCTTATGGTTACACACAGGCTTGAGTGCTTTGCTGGACCACAGACCAATTTATAATGCTCCTGGACTCATATCTAGGGCATAAGAGATTAAAGGCAAGGATACTATACTTGACAGACACTTCTATTGTACAACAGTGGGTTGCAGAAGCTGTTCAGGGAGTCGTATCGGGGCTGGTGAGTGCTCATCCCCCATACATACAGATCCCTGCACAACATATGCAGTCATCCTATGCTACAGCATCAGGACCACGTAGGCCTGAGGCTTGTATCAGGAGACACAGGAGCATTGTCTCAGTGTGGGAGGGAAGGAACAGAAAAGTAAAGCAACTCCCTGCAGTCAGTTGTGGGACCAGTGATGAGATACAGGTACTTAGCTACAGTGTACCAAGTGAAAACTTGCAGCCCCCTGCTGCTATATGTTCTTGAAGGAAGCCCCCTGGTGTGCCCTAAACATCAGGGCTAGGGACAGAAATGACACATAAACCAGTATAAGTCATTGGAAACTGGTTCAAATCTGTAACACAACAGATGTTCAGTGCACATAAAGCACTTCCAAAATGGCCAAAACTAGTTTAAGATAAACCTGGAAGATAAACTTAGTATCAGACTCAATAGATTTAGGTTAAATCAGTTTATTGAACTTCTGTCCCCATGTTAGCAGTGACTCCTGGCCTTGTCCACCCATGCGTAAATTTCTGACCTTTATGATGCTATGACCTACTGACCAGCAAGGGGCACAAGCAGTTACTTCTAATTATACAACCAGGTTCTGGCATGAAATGTTACCGCTGCAGAAGAGCTCACCTGAGGTAACTGGACACCTGAATGGTCAAAGGAATGATTGAAAACTGATGGACATATGGTTCTGTTTGGTGATTGGTCAACTGGGTGACTGACAGGTGGTGTGAGGTGGTTTGAATAAAACCAACGTGAGTGGGTGCTTTGGTGTGCATGTGGTGCATATGGTGTGTGAGTGTGTGTAATTGAGTGGTGAGTGTGAGTGTGTGCATAACTGTGGTCGTGTCTATTGGAGTTATGGTGCATGAGTAAGTTGTGACTAGTAGTGTAAAGCGTGAGTGTAGAGGAAGAGAGAGAGAGAGAGAGTGTCAGGGCCACGGGAGATCATTCTTGGAAAGACGAGTTGTGACTCCTGGTTTATTCAATTTCGGCTTGAAGACTTCTCCAATCTTCTCCCCACTACAATCAGCTGGTAGTGTGTAGTCAGTCCCTCCCTGGGGTTGTGAAGGCCTGAGTACCTCCACAGGGGAAGGAACGTAAGCCTTCGCTGGTGGGACAGCTGTAAGGTGCTTGTGGCAGGTTGCCACCTTGGGGTGAGAGTGCGAGAGAAGCTTATTGCTCTCTATTTTTTGTAAATCCTACTCTGTACATATTCGTATACCAATACTGTATCCAATACCAATTCGTATACAAATACTGTTATTTCCCGTTATCTGTTTTTCTTAAATATAGTCTTGTTGTTTGTTTCTTAATCTTGTTTAGTGTGTTCTTAACTAATGTACCATAGGTGGGACTGGGCTGCAGGCCTATACCTACTGGTGTTCACCCGTTAACATCCACAATCTGACCTTGGGAGCACCAGCCGAGGCCTAACACGCCTCCATTCTTAATTAATTATTATTAGGAGTCCCTCCAGCAGGTCAACACCAGATCCCCTCCAGATTCAAGCTAACTCATAGTCCCCTGGCATCCCAGGATGCCTTGCACCTTCCCTGCACTCCCCACTCACAGGGTGGGTGGGCTAGCCTTGGCTCAAGCTGTCTGCTCCAGCCTAGCAGGGAGGCACGCCCTAGCACCCCCTGTCTTCTGGCTTGGGTCGCTGCAGGCAAGTGGCTGCATCTCCAGAATAAAAAATGAATGTCTAGTCACTTGTTTATCAGTTCAATTTATGCAGCTTAAACTAACCTGCAAAGATTGAATCAATTCAGCCTCAAGCTTTTTGACTGTCTGCACTTAGCTGAGGAGACCAGGCAACCTAAGACATGGAGAAGCACAAATTGTTCCTTCCCTTTGCTCTCCTCAGACCTAGCTAAGGACCTGGGCCACTGAGCCCAGAACCCTGAGAGCCAAATCTACAGTATAGAAATACATCTACAATGTGAGCTTGAGATGCTGCATGTCAGTGTGAGGCCATTCCCACTCTCCTCTTCTCCCAGGTGCACAGTCAGGGCCCAGCAGCACTGTAGGGTATATCATGCCTGTGCTTTTCCCTCTGCAGGGAGTTTGCTCCCTTTAACTTTCTGCTGCCTTCTCCTTTGTCTCAGCACTGCCCCAACCCCCCACAGATAGAAGTACTCCCGATTGCAGGAGGGATCTGTGTGCATGCTTCCAGCTCTGGCAGGTCTTGAGGCATATGCTTATGACATGCCTAAAATAAAGTCATTTTCTTCCAAGGGTCAGAGACAGGCTACTGCGCTCCTTTTCTCACTCACTTCTGCTTATCCCTGCAGCAGTGGCCCCATGGGACACCTCCCCTGTGTGTGAGGAAGATTATCCTTTCCCTCTGGAGAGGTGGGGCAGGCTCTGACAGTTGGGCAGTGACAGCAGGAGTGATACTGAAGCTCAGCACCTTTTCTGTCTGCTCTGATAGGGGGGAGAGTGGCCCAGCTAGGAGGAGCTTACCAAACTGCTAGCAGCCAACCTGCAACCCCTAGTCAGTCATTCCCATTAAGGATGCTTAAACCGAAGTTGTGGACCAGATCTTCAGCTAGTCTAAATTGACTGGCCTTCACAGACCCTGATATCAGCTAAAGACCTGGCCCATTTGCAGATACTTAGGGTGGTCTACAAGAAAAAAATAAAATAAATGAAGCAGCACACAGAATAGGGATCTGATATTGCCACTCCCTAGGCATACCTGAATGCTGACAGGTGTCACATGCAAGTCAAAAGACAGCCATTATCTGGGGTGAGGCTAGACTTCAAGGAAATGAGAGAAAAGTATCCTAACCATGTACTAGAGTTCCCAGCTCCCCAATGTGGTTTCCCCAGAAGCTAGAGAACTAGCAGGGCACCGGAAGTCCTGCCAGGGTGACAGCTTCATACTTCTTCTATTAGGAACAGAGTGCTGGAAGGGGCTCCTGGGCCATCAAGACCTGTCCCCTGTTTTCACAGCAATTGTTGACTCACAGAAACCCCAAAATCACCACTTCAAACCTGCATGCACAGCTACAAAGAACAATACCTGAAATGCCAAATACTCCCTATAACGTCATAGATAAAAGTAGGGGAGACAAGGGCACAACCAATGCCCTGGCATGGCAATGGCAAAGAAGTACCTGGTTAATAGATGCCCAGATGATTCTAGGAAGAGAGACGTACACCAAGCTGTGAAGGAAACAAAAATACCAGAGTCTGTGCCAATCTGACCCAGGGGGAAAAATATCCTTCCTGAGCCCATATGTGGTGATTGGCTTGAGTTTTCTAGTACCAGCAGGAGCATCAGTGCCCCCCAGTGAAGTACCCCAGCCTTAGCTGTGGCCAATGTCTCAAGGGCTCAAAGGGAAGTGTACCACCCCATTCACAGCACCACCTCCAGAAGCCAGTACCATTCATTATGTGGGGGGAAAAAATCCTTCCTGGCACCAATTTGTAACTAGCAAAGTCTCTGAAGCATACCACACTTCAATAGTTACTACTGTACCCTAACCTCAGAATGGCAAAGAGATGACTCCACCCACACATAGTGATCATTGAGCCAAGAACTATCTGACCACCTACCATGCCTTGTAAGGGGGCTGTGCTTGGCTTTGGCTCTGAGGATGCTGTGGAGAAGGGCTTCTGTTTAATAGGGTTGTATATGTGACTCCAACTTATGAACAACCCGGAACATCAGGCAGGATTCCCTAAGGGGTTTTGCAAGTAACTTTGCACTCTGAGCGAGGTGGAAAGCCTGGAGGAGAAGGGCACCCTGTCATTGAAAGATGAGGACTAAACCTTAACAAACACCTCCGGTGACAGCAAGCCAGGAGAAACTGGGAAGTAGCTGGCCCCAGCGAGCCACTAGAGAGAGCATGTGCATTATGTCTCAGTGAGCCCCACCCCAGATGACAATGGCAGGGGCAGAAATTGCAGAAGACCTACCAGGCTGGCTGGGACATTGGCCTTGGGTAACAGACATGGAGAGCACAAGGAAAGCATGATGGGCTTCTCTATTCTGCCTTAAACATGTCCTTGTGCCACTAATCACAGCAAGAACATGGTTCTTCTGCCTCTGGAGGCCTGATTCAAAGCTTTTGAAAATCCAGTGACATCAAGGGATGTGGGATCAAGTCTTTCCCGATCAATAGAACCTTGGCACAGTGTGAGGGCTGAA